AACCTAGATCAGTGAACATAAAACAAGAAACATGATCAACTAAACAACTATACAGTACAAATACACAAAATGGTCAAAGCAGCAGCAGTAGCTTTATGCAAAGAAATAAACATTCTCTTGATTATAAGGGAAAAGATTTAAGAAAGGGGAGTTTGAGAAAATCACGTTTGATTTTGCTTGACGTACTTAACTCAGCATTCTTGTACAAGACAGCTTTTGTGAGTGACAAGTTATGGAATGGTTACGTATGACTTAAGTTTCACATTTTGGATTTTTATTTCTTGTTCTCTCCCCTCCCTTATATCTTATACTTTTTTATAATGAGATTTGGATATTCAAACAATGCCCCTTTTCTATTTTCAAAAAATAAGTAAATTAAAATGCTAAGTTGTTTAACAATTTTTTTATCAACAACATCTTACCTTTATTATTGTAGACATCTAAGTAATTAGGTGCCGAAAAAATTGTTATTAATGAAGGGAACCCTGTAGTTTGACTTTTTCTGTACATTCTATAGCTGCAAAACAAATAGCTTAATATGCATCGTAAAGCATCAATCATTGTTACTAAGTTTGATTTGTACATAGGTGTTAATTTGGGTCACAGAAACAGAATTCTTACCCTGCATCTTGAGCTTCATGAGCTCTAATAATCGATAACAAATTATTGTTTTGCAAAAATTCACACACTGCTGGATAGCTGTGGGGGGAAAAGAGTAAATTAAGTAAAACAATGGTTTTCTGTATGAAGCATATGCTATTTTAACAACTAAAATGTAATTAATCTTGGATATTTTTTCCTTACTTATAAAAATAAGAACATCCTCGAACTGTATTGTGACTAAAATGTTCCTGTGATTTTTCATTTCCAAAATCTTCAGAAGGATCGGACCATAGCAAGTCACACATTGGTCCAAATGCAGGTGGCTCTTTGAATCTATCTAACTGTGAAATAAAGATGAAAGAAACAAAGAACAGAAATAACTTGTCAAAAAGTGAGAATAGAATGGACATAGGAAAGTGATACCAATTTTCAATACAGTCCATACTACATTGTTCTGAATGACTAGAAGATATTTCCTTAAAATATCAGTATATTAATTTTTACCAATACCTCATGTTGGCAATAAAGAGAAGTTTGAAGCTTCTACTCCCTACCCAACAAAGTACTATAAATAAGGACAAACCTTGGAACTGAAATATATACTCACTCTCCTAATATCATCCAGTGTGTGTACTTCTGGTGAAAGTCCACCATGAACACAAAGAAATTGTTGATTTAAAAGTGCAGCAAGAGGCAGGCTATCAAAAGCTTCCATACAAGCTTCATAGACTCTTTCTGAATATTTAATTTTACCTAGAAAAAGAAAAAATTAAATTGAAAATTACATTACTAGTTGATCATTCTGAAAACATATACATACATACATATAAAATTGACTATTAAAACAAAGGCAAGAAAACTATAGGCATAAAAAACAGCCAAGTGGTGGCCAGATGTTGAGAGTGGATGAAAGGGTAACTATAAAAAGGCAGCAAGAGGGAATTTCTGGGATGATAAAACTTTTCTGTATCATGACTGTGGTGGTGGACAGCTCTATACATCTGTCAATTCTCAGAATTATTAAAGGCAAGCATCTTGCTCTATAAGAATCAACAAAGATAAGCAATGTCTTATGAAGACAAAATATTTGTTCTCTCTAAATTTATTTCAGGTATGCAGCAGATAGTCATAAAATATTACTAAAAATAAATAAGTCAACGCTCTAAAAACAGCTTAACCCTTCGCCTTTACAGACCAAGTAAGGCAAAATTAGAAATATACTTAAAGCTAAAATAGTCTTAAACTTTATTTTATTATAAGAGTCAGTGACTACTTTGTTGTTACAGGCAAGACTGCTATATCATCACAAAAAAACTCAAGGTCCATCCAAGTAAAAAAAGAAAAGATTTTATTCATATGTTAGAGGAGCAGAAGGGTTCTTCTAGTTTCAATGAATGCTTAAAATGGGCACTGACGTGAGAAGTCAACATAACACAAGACAAAACTCCACCAAATCAAACTGTCATTTACTTTTAAGGAGATATCATACACATTCCTTTACTCCTTTATAGCTTTAAATTCCTGGATATTTTGTTTTTGGTGGGATTTTGGTGGGTGGTTTGTTAATTATCTAAAGGTAAAAAAAAAAATCTTAGTTTCTAATTTCCTCATATTCCATTCAAATATGAGAAAATCTATATCCAGCAACCAGAGGTTCTAAACTGATAGCCTGCGAACAGATCTGTTTTCTAGCACTCTGGTTTAATAAAAAATTTGATTGCTTTTAGGTCAAGCATACACTTCTCAGGTCTCATCTTTTATTCATTTATGTTACCTGCCTGATCTTTGAAGTTACATGAATTTGTCATGTCTGCCATCACCCATCACTATATTTTTCTCCTTTTACTGGAAGTCTCTACTGATATGATCTTTATTGGATCATGTTTTAGTATATGTGCTGCCAAAGCAAGCACTATTGGATCGTATTTTGAGTCTCGATTCTGAAATTATCTGTTTTTAGAACTTAACTCTAAGACTAAATTATTAACTTAACAAGTGCACAGCTATGAGGTGTGAAAAAAGGCCAAACATTGCTCTATATCATGTGGTTGCTTACAGCTATTTATTACCATTGTTATAATTTAAGAGAGAAATGGGGATATACATTGTAGGTTAAGAATTTCAATTCATTAATAGTATGTTTGAAACAATCTGCAATGATGACAGGATGAATCATTTGTGAAGAACCTTATGGGAATGCCTCAATATGAGGGACAAAAATCTCCAATGTGACATTTTTTTTCTTTTGATTTTTATTCTTCCTGTTAGAAAAAGTAATTTTAACATTACTATACACAAGTAGCTATATATAAAACTGAAAACTGTTTGTAAGTACATATGTCTGAATAAAATGTCATTAAACACTAGAGATTTCTTTTCCATCTTCCTCAAAGCTTTATATGTTTGGACACAAAATCTGTTCTTACATGTTACATTGTCAAGTCTTCAAACTCTTACTACACACATCATTCCAAAAGAATATTAAGGAAGTGAAAATATTTCTCATGGCAGTACTTAC